AGGTCTCTTAACATTTTTGCCTAAATTTAATTTTTCAAAAGTTATTCACGATTAAAATCGAAGAAAAACTTAAAATTTCAATTTTTTCTTCGTGAATAACTTTTGAAGAATTAAATTTAGGCAAAAATGTTCCGAGACCTTTTTTGTAGAACATTAAATTTCCTTTAAGAATCCGACGTGAGCTTTTTTAAATATTCATTGATTCATTAGTTACAAAATTTCAAAGTAAAAAGGGCAAATCGAAAAAACACATCGATTTATTAAGCTCAATTACACGGAAACGGCTCGTCTGGCGAAAATTTTCAATCAGACCTTTTTTGTAGAGAATTTAATTTTTAATAAAAATAAGTGACAAGGAATTTTTTTCACTTTATTGTTTTGACAGTTCCAACGTAAAACATCATATTATGACTAAAAATCAAAAATAGCGATGATAGACCTCTTAAAATTAATATTGAGGGCTCAAATTTTCACGAAATTTTTTTTTTGTCATTCTGAATGACATTCTCGATATATTTTTCAAAAAAAAAAAATAGTCAATTTTTTTGGCCCAGTCTATTGAACAGTTTATTTGTTTGACAGAAACCTGGTCAACAGGTAAAAAAATTAAAAACGCTAACTTTCCAACATTTAAATTACTTTCGCATTTTTCTCGAAATAAACAAATCGGAGGAGGAGTTGCAATTTGGTGTAAAGACAAATTAAATGCCCAAGCAATTGACCTTGACCGTTTCTGCGAGGAAAAAAATTTCGAGGTATGCGCTTTAAAATGTAAAATTAATTTAAACAATATTGTAATTTTAACAATTTACCGATCTCCATCGGGCGATTTAAATTTATTCCTAAATAAACTATATGCAGTTTTGGAATATATTTATTGCCACAGCAGTTTAATAATTTTAAATGGAGACCTTAATATTAATCTTATTGACAGCAATAATAACACAAAAAATTTAATTAATATAATGTCTACATTCAATTTAAAACAAATTATTACTGAACCCACCAGAGTGTGTGGGAATAGTAGAACACTAATTGATCATGTTTACATAAACAAATACAACTGCTGTAAATTTGTAACCTTGGATAATCTTATTTCAGATCATAAATATATATTTTACAAAATAGGCATAAACTTGAAAACAGAACCTATATCCACTTATAAAAGAAGGTATGGTGTTAACAAGATTCAACAGTTCTGTCTGGATTTGCCAGGGGAATCTTGGTCTAATATGTTTATGTTGAAGGATTTAAACGATAAATATAATATGTTTTTTAATATATTTAACTATTATTTTCAGCTTAATTTTCCTGAAGTGAAGGTTTTTAACACAAACAAAAAAAATCATGGATCAACAATAATATAATAATATCTAGCCAAAAACTAAAAAATATGTATTTTTTACAAAAAGAAAATATAATATGCAAAACAACATATAATAAATTTAAAAGCAATCATCAAAAACTAATTAATTGTACAAAAAAAGAGTTTTACCAAGACCAGATTACTTCCTCGGCCAATCCGAGCAGAACTGTTTGGCAGATTATTTATCAAGGTAACAAAAAACTAACAAATATTCACCTAAAACATAAAAATGAAATTATAAAGTCTCCTAAATTAGTTACAAACAAGTTTAATATTTTTTTGTGGATATTGTTAAACAACACGTAGCAAAATTCCAAACATATCTAGAATGTCAACGCATATGAGTAAATTATCCCATAGTATGTGCCTTATGCCATTTACTGAATCGGAAGTTATGGGTTTATTTAGCAAGCTTAAAAGCAAAAAATCATATGGTCCAGATGAGATTCCGGTGTGTTTATTGAAGGAAGTATGTGAACCGCTTATTATTCCTATAACCCATTTAATTAACAGTTCTTTTGCAAAGGGTGCCTTTCCCGATGCTCTGAAGACTTCACGCATAATTCCAATTTATAAAAAGGGCGATCCAGAAGGTGTGGAAAACTACAGACCTGTGGCTTTAACTTCGTCATTTTCAAAAATCTTTGAATATGCTATGCTTGACAGACTTACTAGCTATTTAAAGAAAAATAACATTTTATTAGATAACCAACATGGTTTTAGGCCTAAACATTCCACACTTTCTGCAATAAACATCTTTTACCAAAAACTAGTTGAATTTATTAACGCGGGCGAGTGCCCTGTGGGCATATTTTGTGATCTTAGCAGGGCATTTGACTGCGTTGATCATAACATTCTTCTAGATAAACTTGAAAATTACGGAATTCGTGGAGTTGCCAGTGATTGGATAATGTCGTACCTAAGCGAAATAAAACAATATGTTGAATGCATGGGGGTCTCATCTGAACGCATTGATAATAAGACAGGTGTACCTCAGGGATGAATACTGGGCCCTGTTCTTTTAATTTTGTTTATGAATGATGTACCTGCATCATGAAGAGTGTCTGGTGATGTACGCCGATGATACCACTGTTTTGGTCTCGGATAGAGACAATAATAAACTCTTGGAAAGGTTTAGCAGAGCCGTATAAAAATTATGTGACTGGTTCTGCCAAAACAAATTATACTTTAACACTTCCAAAACTAGTTGTATAAAATTTCACACAATTCAAAAGAGCATAGAGCCAGTCACTGTTACTATAAATAACACAACTGTCTCAAATTCCAGGACGGTAAAATTTCTCGGCGTATATTTCCAGGATACTTTAAAGTGGAATGAGAATTTTTCGCACTTGATCTCCACGTTAAGCTCAAAATGTTATCAAATAAGATTTTTAAAACCCATTTTAACATTGGAACAGATTAAGTGCTATTACTATGCGGAGGTGTACTCGAGACTGGTTTACAGTTTATGTTTTTGGGGCTCTTCACATATAGCTAAAGACGTTTTTATTATACAAAAGAGAATTTTAAGGTGTTTTATGGGTCTACCATCATACCACTCGTGCAGGAACGTTTTTAAGACATTGGGCATTTTACCTCTTCCCTCCATATACATTCTTGAAATTCTTAAATTTGCTTATGGTCTAAGAAATACATACAACGTCAACAATAAAGTTCATAGCCATAACACCAGGCAAAAATATAACTTTTATCTGTCGCGGCCCAGAGTTGACATATTTAAGAATTCACCAGGCTACCAGGGTCAGAAGTTCTTCAATACATTACCAGAAGAAGTCAAACAAATAAACAGTTATACTCAATTTAAAAAAAAGATCCTGGCAATGCTTAAGGAAAATAATTTTTACAGTATAGATGAATTTCTAAAATTTTTAAATAAATAATATATACTATTACATTTTTGTAAATGTCTTTATATCTTTTTGTAAATGTCTTTATAATTGATGTTATAATATTTTGTATTTTTATCTTTTGACATGTCTTATACAATTGTAAAATTGTCTTTTGGACTAATAAATATATTATTATATTATTATTATTATTATTATTATTATTATTATTATTATTATTTATGAGCAATTTATTAATTTCTCTGATAAAAGAACCCGTATGTAGAGAAGTTCAATCCTAGACATGTTTTTAGACGTGCGTTAAAATAATAAAAATACAAGGCGACTGCTTCATTAAAAACACAGTATCCAACATTTTTTCAGAACATTTTTTTTATATTTTTGCACATATTAAAACGCACCTTCTAACCCAGCCTATTTGTTGATGAAAAACTCTAACACATAGCAGTAATATCAAAAGAATTCACTAAAACTTTACAGAGGCCAAATTAAAAAACTAAAACACGTTTTTCTCACATACTGTGTTTTAGAATGAAGCAGCCGAAGGGATTATTAATTTAAATAAAAAATATCTGAAGGAATAAAAGGACTTTATGGGCGGCAATGCAACATAGTAGGCTTAGCTTCATGGCTGGATGCTCCCGTGGACGAGTTTTGGTTCGTGCCGCACATGACGTCACTTGATGAGTAGTTGCCGTGCGAATACACGAATAATAGTAATATTATCAAAGAAAATAGAGAAATATCTGGACATAGTGCGTTTTTATTAAACTTGACATTGAAAAAAGTGTTATAATATGGATAATAAATGCTTTCAGTCCTTGATAACATTTAGGGCTGTTGTTTAAGAGTTGGTGTTTAAAATTAAACTTATAGTCACTGTCCAGAAAATATTTAGAGGAAACAGAAACGGTCTTAACGTTAATATTGTCTATTCTTTTGCACAAATCAAAGTTTTTCGGGAATCGATGAAATTTAATTGTTTTTATTTAAAGGGTTTTTTTGGACTGGTTGTCCGAATTGCATCTAAATATGACACACCGCATTTTAATAAATGCAAATGGCACGACACAAACTAAAACACAAACAAAATAAGTTAACGCAACACAAAAACAATAATAAACAAACAGAACAGGTTAACACAACGCATTAACAATATTTTGAACAATGAAAAGTAATTCGAACCTTACCGAATGCAAGAACAACAAGTTAAACAAAAAATAGAGCAAGTTAACATCCAACAGCATCACAAAAACAAGAATTTTAGCAGCAGATAATTAAAACGCACGTTAAAAATTTAAAAATACTTAACAAGTGACGTATTTAGGCTCCGCCCAACATGCGCACCATCCTATCTTAAGGTGTATATATCTTGGCTTAGCCTAAATGTCAAGTCCAAAAAAAAAACCAAAAGTATGGTTAACTGTTATTTTAGAGCTTAAGCTAATGACTAAGTGACTTTTTGCTTTAAATAAAATACCGTTTTTAAGGGCCCAAAATACGGGGTTTTTGCTTACCTAATAAGAAAAAGTGCTCAATAGATTTTTTTAATTTTTGGTTAAAATCTTTCTTACGTCATATAAAATCAATGTATGGAAAGAGAAATGAGTTAATTTGAAGTTGATTTAAATCGGCAAACCACCGCACCGTGCCTAGTTTTCTACAAAAAAACATGTTAAAATTTTACAAAAAAAATTTACAAACTAAAACAAATCTGATTTTTATAACAGTGTAAGTAATTCAACAATGCGGTTAATTTTCAGATCCGCCACCCGACCGATCCGACGCAGTGCGTGATGTGTCCCCAGGGGGCGATTCCCGACCCGCAGCACGTGCGCTGCAACAACATTCCCGAGGAGTTCCTGCAGCCGGACAGCGGCTGGGCGATCGGCGCCATGTCCTTCGGGGCGACCGGCGTGCTGCTAACCACGTTCGTGCTCGGCGTTTTCATGAAGTTCAACGATACGCCGGTGGTGAGGGCGTCGGGACGCGAGCTGAGCTACGTCTTGCTTAGCGGCATCATGTGCTGCTACTGCTGCACCTTCACCTTTGTCTTTAAGCCTACCAATATGACATGTGGCTTGCAAAGGTAATAACAACTATACATTAAATACAATCTTATTTGAAATACCTTAAGGTAGTTGTCGTGCTGTAAGCATACCATCAGAAAATTTTAAATTTTTGTATACTTATTAAGGACATGACAATACATATATCCTTAAAATTTGAAGTCGATTGACCGTCTATAACCCGAGATAAATTCAATTAAAAATTGGATAATTAACATGGATTGTATAGGCTTTCTGTAGTTCTGTACCAGTTTCTTAGTTATACAGAAAAAACTAACTGTCAGAAGCTTTCAAAAAACTAACAGTGTTTTAATGTATTTTTGCTGAGTTTAAAAAAAAATAATTAAAAATTTTTGACCGTCCAATAACCGTTTAAAGTTCAACAATTTGTAAAAAGTATACATCACTAGTGTCAGATAAAAACAACTTGGCAACGCTGAACGCGAGTATAGATATTATTTCCGCAGTAAATTCAAACGGACTGATTCAGTCTCCAATATATATATATTGGTTGAGCATAAGCGACGTTGCCGGATTAAAACTTATGAAAATATTTGAAAGTATTACGTAAAGGTAACGTCTTGCGAACAAATTATGAATCACTTAGCTACAAGCTCGTATACTTTTACGGTGCGTATAATCTAAAAATTTTTGACAATATTGTACCATGACAACTACCTTAAGTACAAATACAAATTTCTGTACCCCAGAACCAAACTGTATTAAGTCCACTTTTTTTAAATCACATTACATGACATTGTATCTAGCCTACAATTTCCCCCTCTTTACAATGGTATACCGGATTAAGTCCTTGCCCATGGTATAGAAAATGGCCCTGGCCTCCTTAGTTTGTGATATATCAAACAAATTACACTGGTCAGCCGCCATTATGCCCTAGGGTGGCCAACAACTTTTCTAATGTAATTTGTGTGCGCTGATTTCATAACTTAATTAGCCTTTTTTTCGAGATATTGTAAAAAACGGTTTTTTCGATAAGCAAACATTCCAATTCCAGATATTTATATAATATTAATAATAATACTAATATTTATTATTATTATTATTTTTCAGGTACAATATGAAAAAAGTTCAATAAATATTCCAAAGTACACTTTTAAGTAAACATTTGTGTGTGTATTAGGGTGATTCGTTTCCGCAAAGCTTTTGTTTTTTTTCGGTGCTCAAGCAAAATATTATTCTGCATATAGAAAAAAATTCTAACCAAGTTTCAGCTCTTAATATCAATTTGAAGTACTTACTATTTAAATTTAATATATATATATATATATATATATATATATATATATATATATATATATATATATATTAAATCAAATAATTTAACTAACTCTCTAAAAATGAAATAGTCAAAATTCTACTATTTGAATTAGTACCAGCATTTTTTACTAGTAAAATAGTCGTTTTCACTTTTAAATAGTTATTTTTTACTATGTAAATAGTTAAAGTTTGACTAATTTAAGATTAGTCACAATATTTGACTATTTCTGACAGTTAAAAGTAACTAATTTCTTTAGTCGTTTACGGCCAACAACAAAGTATTTTTTGAATTAAATGCATATACCTCTCCATGGTTAAATGACCCATAAAACAAATAAAGATGCAAAAAGTTTAGCTCAAAATAGCAACACAAATATATTAAACTTTAAAATATTATGAACAATATTTATTGACAAATAAAATTAATTTTTATAAGAGCGGCTGACAGCCGAATGCGTTAAGACGTTAGATTGACAAACTTGTCAAGTGACAGACCCGAGTTCAATCCCAGGTTGGGTCAAAACTTTTTTTAAATTTAAGTTTACTAATTTGACTATTTCATTCAGTGGAATTTGACTAATTATTAGTGACTGCTTTTTCACTATGACAATTAGTCAAATATGACTTATAATTAGTTATTTTTGACTAATTCATTTTAAGAGAGAAGGATGATATAACCATATAACCAATATTGGTTAAGCTTTAAGTTCAAATTTAACTAATAAATAAATTAATCACATTTATGAAGTTTTTCTAAAAACCCTATTTTAACGAAATAAATTCTCGTTTTTAGTAAAAATTTGACAATTTTTAAAGTTCAGTGCTGTTTTGCAAACAAAATTAACACCCATCAACAGTGGTCATGCCATACGAACCGGTAAATAATCATCGAAAATGTACTTATTTTGTTTTAACCCTCAGTTTTCTTATGCTTAGTTCAAGTTTATTTTTGGTATTACAGTCAACTTTATTTGTCATCTAAACTGTTTGAGTTAAAGAAAGTTTAACCTAAAGAGAGTAATAAAAATTATGTACCTATTTAAAAGTACCTGTCATTACCTTTAGGTTGACAATTTATTTTTAAATACCTCAAGTCGGTAGGTTTCTTTTCCAGATGACATTTTGCCAATTTTTATGTGATTGCTTTTAGCACAATAAACTATATGAATAAAGCTATATAATTTAGTAAATTTCATTAACATCGGACAAAAAAAAAGTCCACGTAAAAGCACTTTTATTATGCTAAAATAGGGTTTTCAAGGGACTTAATTCATAAATGTGTACAATTTTTTTTTACTTAATTTAAAAAAATATACACGAATTTCAATGTTTGTATATCGAAAAAAACCTAATTTTTACAATATATCGAAAACAAAGGCTATAGCCTTATAATTGAGTAAAATAGTGGTCATTTTTGGAATAAGCGCACCCAAATTACCCCAGAAAAAATGTTGGCTCCCCTGTGTTAAACAAAAAAATGTAATTTGGTTGACCAGTAATTTAGTAGGTATTATCTATATTTTAAGTTTTCTCAAATGTTCGAAATTTTTAATGTTAATTTGGTATTTGTTCATTTATGTTTCTATTTTCTAATATTACCTAGGTTTTACTGTATTAAATCTAGAATACAAAAAACATCGTAAAATACCGTTGTATTATATAAAGTGTGTCAAAAACTTCGTACCTACGACACAATCTTTAACGAACTGGAAATAATGTAATGCATTAAATTATTTCTTGTTTAAAAATTTCGAATTCCGCTTTAATGAACATGTTTAAGGGCTTGACTGCATAAGAGGTTTACACCCACAATCTTTTTAATGTACACCTTCGCATTTCTTAGCAACGTTTTAACAATCTACCTTGAAAATTTTGAAAAGCCTTTTGCCGTTAATATTTTAGTTAACGTTTTTTATGTTAAATTATTAAATAGGTTTCAAGTTTTAGTTATTGTCTAACACATATTTTTGAAGTATTATACATTTTCTTTTATTATAAAATTACAAATTTTGTGTCCTAATAATTGAAATATTTAAAAATACAATGCCTAATATGCTTTTATTAGTCATAAATTAAATAATAACATATAAATTAAATATAATTTATTTTAATAAATTATTAATAATTTGACAGAGGCAAAAAACGTATTTTATAAAAATTCTGCCCGACTTAATAACCTCATTTTCTTCTGGACATGTCTCTCTATATATATACATACATATTTTGTATTTAAAGGCATTGTAGAAAACATACGATTTATATTTATAAACTCTCTACCTAAATATTTACAAAAATGGCGAATGCTCCGGGATATTGCAAAATAAATAAATAAATAAATAGGGGTCAATACCATACCAAATCAACCATGGTTGATGACAAAATATATTTACTTGTTATTTTTGTACATATGGTTGCACTAAACTTAAAGAATTAAAAACAGGTAGGGTAAACCACATAGTTATTGAACATTTAAGGAATATTATTTATTTAAAATTTATATATGCCGTTGTTTTAAGGATTTTAGTTTTTTTCTTATAAATATATAAAAAGGATAGTTTGTTTTTTAAACTTTATTTACGTTTACTTAAAAATAAGAATATTTGAATTTTTAATAATAGTTTTATAAAAACATGCAAAAAAGTATAGTAATTGGACATTTTATATAGTAATTGGACCATAGTTATTGGACATACAATTTTTATATAAACATAATAACTTTACATCAAATAACATAAATTGTTAAATATTTTTAAAAGATAAATTGCAGTTTTATGTAACTACTAATTCCTTGACTGACTTCTGAAATAGTTTGTTGCAAATATCGTTAAGTGTGGTATCTCTAGTTTGTGAAGCATTTATAATATTTAGGCCGGAACAGGATGATTTATATATATATATATATATATATATATATATATATATATCTAATATTGTTTCGGGTGGTATGTTAAAAGTATTTTCCGAATTTATTAATTTTGTTGCCATTACGTTTTTATGTTCTCTATCATGCACTGTATTTAAATCACTGTTATTCTGCAAGATGTCCTGTGGCAAAGAAATCACTATATTACTAACTTTCTAAAAATTAATTAGTCAAAAATGTCATAGCGAAAAAGCAGCCACTAATAATTCTCGTCAATAGCAATTTGTATCCAGGGCATTTAGCAGTCAATTCCTATGAAATATTATTCGCTGAATCAGAAAATGTCGTTAAAAGTTATAAAAGTAGAACAGTTTTTGAAATATAATAAATTTTACATATAATATGGAATATCTCAAAATATCTCAAAAACTGCTTAACTATTATAGTTTTTGACTCTTTTCTGATTCAGGGGACAATTAAATTGGCTGGTAAATGTCCGGGATACAAATAGAGAATGATATTGGACATATGTCCAATAATAGAAATTTAAATTTTTTTTACCAACCAGTAATTGGCCATTTTACTGTTTGTTTTCAGAATTAAAATTAAAGCGCATTAAGACAATTTTTAAATCATAAGGAACACATTTATACCACACACTGATTTGTGCACTTTTTAGAAATATTTTTTATTGTAATTTAAACACAGCCCTGCTCTTAACAAAAAAAAACAAAAATCTTACCAACAAAGTAACGTGAGAACTTTTTTATCCTATATTGGACCCAAAATAAAGTAGTTTTATATTATTACCGACTGAGATATTTATAATTGTATACAGCGTCATCTAATGATTTGACTTTAAGGTAACTATTTATGGAACTCTTGTTTTTACAGTATTAATGTTAACTGTCCATCAAGTGTCCGATAACTGTCTATTTTACCCTAATCATTAATTTTTTGGATATTTAGTTTTTGTGAGCGGTCACTTTCTATTGGTCACCCCATTGCATTTTACAGAGGTATCTCCTTAGTTTTTAAAGATATTTAGTTTATACAAAAACCACGTTGAAAAGCATAAAATATACAAACTTTTCTTACCAGTATATAGGCCTACTTAATTGTTAATAAACAAAAAAATGTTTTTCTGGATATAGTATTTAACTTTTTTTTTACTTCGAATTTTGCGATTCGTCTAAAATCCGTAATCGTAAATAGGTATCTTAGATGAGACTTTATTAATTAAACATTTTTAAAAATAGTTCAAATATTGCTAAATCGGGGACACTAGGGTGGGCAAAAAAACTTACTTACCATGAAAATATCGTCCAATATGACGAAAAAAAGCTCTTAATATTAATATTAAGAGGTGGCTCATCGCGATTTTTTATTTTCCATTTAAATAACACGGGAAAAAAATATTTTTTGGTTTGTAATTTTATTGCGTTTTAACGAACGTGAGTTGTAGAATTAAATACATATTCTTGTAGGGAATTGAACGATCTACAAAAAAGATCTGATATGATTTTTTGCTTAGTCGACTCGTTTAAAAGTTATTTGAGGTTAAAGTTTAACCTTAAATAGTAAATGATTACTTTTATAGTTTTTCATACTCTATTACGAAATATTGGCTCAAAAACATGAAATATCATATTTTTTGTAAAGTTTATCGAGTGTTATTCGGTAAAACAATACAATTTTTACGAAATATTAGTAAATAGTGAAAAAAACGGTTTTTTTTCTATACTTGATTTTTTTTTAAATCAATTTTTTTTTTCTTATTAATTCTTTAATAAATATTCTATTTACACTTGACTATTAGGAAATAAAAGCCATGTTTCAATAATTTATCAATTAAAATAAAAAATGTTCATAACTTGTACTTTTTTCACTATCTTAGAATCAAACATTTGTTGTACTCTTTTATTAATGCAACTTCTCTTTCTGCTACATCATTGAGAACGCTAAGACGTTTAAAAAATACTAGATTATCTTGATAGCTTTCATCCTGTATCCAAAATTTTACATTCTTATTGATAAAGTCAATGGGTAAATCAAATATATTAAATATACAGGGTGTTTCTTTTAACTTGAGACAGCTCAATATCTCGAGAAAAACGAATTTCACGGAAAAATGTTTTTAATAAAAGGTTAATGTGACTAAAGGGGACATTATTTGGTGCTACCGCTAGCCACCCCTTACCCCTCCTTAAGGGTGAAACGGGGGGTAACTTTGGAAAGTCAAATGGAATGACCCGATTTTTTTCACAGAGTTTGGTAGTACATAAAAAAATAAATAACTTTTATTTAAAACTTTTTTCAATTTATCAACAGATGGCGCTGTAATTCAAAATTTAAGAAAAATGAGTTTCCTTGTAAAATGTATTATTTGAAACGTTTGAAAAACAAAAATTAACATTAACAACAATAGTCGGCTATGAAAACAATTTATAACAAATGTTCGAAATGTCGTCATTCCATTTCAACACATTTTTGAATGCGGGTAATGAATTCTGGCACACAACGCGCCAACATATCGGGCGGTATCGCCGCACAGGCGTTACTGATCCGCTCCACCATGTCCTCCCAAGTTGTAGGAATTGCAGCGTAAACTTTTTCTTTCAAGTAACCCCACTGGAAGAAGTCTGGTGGCGTAAGATCAGGTGATCGAGCAGGCCAAATTACTGGACCACGACTACCGATCCACCGCGGTGCACCGGCCATTGAACTCCTGATCCAACACCTCTCGAGCAATTGTCGAATAATGTGCAGGAAAACCATCTTGCTGGTACCACATGTTTTGGAGCCGTGCTAGTGGTACATCCTCCAAAAGGTCCGTCAGATCGTTTTCTAGAAAATTCCGGTACTTTTCGCCATTTAATGCACCGTCAATAAAGAAGGGTCCGATTAATCGTTCGCTTAAGGTACCGCACCAAACGTTTACCGACCAGGGACGCTGGTGCTCCACTTGGTGTCGAAATGGAAGGACGACATTTCGAACATTTGTTATAAATTGTTTTCAGAGCCGACTATTGTTGATTTAATGTTAATTTTTGTTTTTCAAACGTTTCAAATAATACATTTTACAAGGAAACCCCTTTTTCTTAAATTTTGAATTACAGCGCCATCTGTTGAAAAATTGAAAAAAACTTTCAAATAAAAGTTATTCATTTTTTTATGTACTACCAAACTCTCTGAAAAAAATCGGGTCATTCCATTTGACTTTCCAAAGTTACCCCCCGTTTCACCCTTAAGGAGGGGTAGGGGGTGGCTAGCGGTAGCACCAAATAATGTCCCCTTTGGTCACATTAACCTTATATTTAAGACATTTTTCCGTGAAATGCGTATTTCTCGAGATATTGAGCTGTCTCAAGTTAAAAGAAACACCCTGTATATATATATATATATATATATGCATATTTGATACTTATTGCGAGTAGTTAAAAACCACCGGCAAAAATATCCCAATTGTAACAAGAAAAATTTAGTTTGATTCTAAGATAGTGAAAAAGTACAAGTTGGAATAACATTTTTTATTTTAATTGAAAAATTATTGAAACATGGCTTTTATTACTCTATATTACCTAATAGTCAAGTGTAAATAGAATATTTATTAAAGAATTATTAAGAACAAAAAAATTGATTTTAAAAAAAAATCAAGTATAGAAAAAAAACCGTTTTTTTTCACTATTTACTAATATTTCGTAAAAATTGTATTATTTTTTAATAAAATGATTAATTTTTTTGTCATTACTCAGGTAAAGAAAAAATTTCGAATTTAAAAAAAAATTAAATATAGGAAAAAAACGATTTTTTCACGATTATTGATATTTCGTAAAAATTGTAGTGTTTTACCGAAGAACACTCGATAAACTTGAGACAATAGTTCGTGATAGAGTATGAAAAACAATAAAAGTCATCATTTACTATTTGAAGTTGAACTTTAACCTCAAATAATTTTTAAAGGAGTCGACTATGCAAAAAATCATATCAGATATTTTTGTAGATCGTTCAATTCCCTACAATATCATGTATTGATTTCTACAACTCACGTATTCGTTAAAACGCAATAAAATTAAATAAATAAAATAAAAAATCGCGATGAGCCACTCCTTAATATTGATATTAAAAGCTCAAACTTTATCATCTTGGACGATATTTTCATGGTAGCTAAAGAAACGAAAATTAAAAGTTTTTTTGGCCCACCCTAGGGGACACACTATAAAAACCAAAAAAATTCAGAAAACAATATTTTATTTTTAAGCGTTCTATAAAAGTTTTATTATTGTCAACTCTCAAACTTTAAGCTAAGCAAAAAAAATCACTTCTTAGCCTTATGACATAAAAAAACTATTATATTATTAAAGAGATGAATGTCTTTTTGCATTTATATCCAAATGCTTCACATATCAAACTTAACAACTGTAATATTATAAAGCCCGTCTTTTGTCTAGAAATTCAAGTAGGTATATTATAATATTTTATCGGTTTTTGTTCATCCCTCTTGTCCCATTCAAAATACACTAAAAACATGAACTTTAAATTAAATAAATGAATTTTGTACGCGTCAACGACAAACAAATTGTCACAAGTGTGCGATGCTCTGTTAGTTGTTTTCATTTGCAGGGTTAAATGATTTATATGTATTTAAATTGGTTTTTGGTTCAACGTTTAACGCCCGTTTTGTTTTGCTTGGCAAAAGAACGTATTGTATGACGGCACAGTTACAGTACAATACAAAAACATTTATTTAATAGGGGCGGTAAGTTGGTCACACCGCAGTTTATTTTTTTTTACTTTTGTAGAAGTAGAATTATATAAATTTAAAAAAATATATTATTAGTAATATTTACATAAATACCCATAAATTTATTATTTTAAACCCTATTTAAATATAGTTTAATAATTACGAATTATTAATCCTAACAAAATGTAGCTTTTGTTCGCGTTGAAACAAAATTATGTTAACATTAAGTAATTAAACTTTAATTATTAAAGTATAATGTTTTCTCTATTTTTTCAGGTTTGGTGCTGGATTGAGTTTTACGGTAGTTTACGCGGCATTACTAACCAAAACCAACAGAATTTCTCGCATTTTCAACGCCGGCAAACATTCAGCCAAAAGACCGAGTTTTATTTCCCCAAAATCCCAACTAATTATTTGCAAGGGTCTTGTGGGAGTTCAGGTAATAAATTTGTGTGGATGGTTTTGTGCATGATAAACTCGGAATGCTTTAAACTAATGCAATTTTCATTACAGTGTGATCCAGATGGTTTAAAAAATAAATAACTTGTTTTGTTTTCTGGGGTAATTTGGATGAGGTGATTTTAAAAATTACCATAATTTTGCTTAATCAGCTTTGTTTTCAAAATATTGTAAAAAATGTTTTTTTATATGCAAATATTTAAATTCTCAAATATATACACTGCTCAACAATTGAAGTGGAATTTTAAAATTGTCAGCGTAAATATTTAGTTAATATTTAGTTAAACATAAAAAGTTTCAAGTACATTAAATAATAGTTTACTGATGGACGTTATGATAAAGAAAATAAAAAAAACATTTATTAAATTTAAAGAAATGGGTAATTATAGTAAAAGATACAATAATTGTATTATTATAAGAAAAGTAACAAAACGACATATGCCTTCCCATACACAAACTGATCCGCCACCAAAAGAAGTGGACAATCACATGTATACAAACGGCATTTTAACTCGTCAGAAAAAAGGCAATACCTCTAATTTTGGTCTTCTTACTCTTAACTAAGATGTGTGCCACCTTCAGTTTGAAAAGAAATTACTTCCAGTAGCTTGCCTGAAGAAATTGTTAATTCTTGAAGCTGTAAATATTTGGTTCCTTCCAGGGACTCGGACCGAAACCGAAAAAAACCGAAAACCGGAACGGAACCGGTTTTTTTTCCGAACCGAAACCCGAACCGGAACCGTTTTCGCTTTTGATAAAATCTGTTGGACCGGAACCGAAACCTTTATTTGCTTTCATTCTAATAACATTATATAACATATATATATATATATATATATGTGTGAGGTTATAGATTAAAATTACGTAAAACAAATAACCTCACTGGAACCGCTTAAAACCGAAAAGAACCGAACCGTTATAACTCCACGAAACCGAAACCGGAATCGGAACCATTAAAACGAAAATAGGGTGAACCAAAACCGTACCGGAACCGATATTTCATTTCGGTCCGGGTCCCTGGTTCCTTCTGGCAGTCAGTATAATTAAACAGTTCTGAGCATGGGTTGTGCATCGTTCACGTCCTTCTTCATACGTGTATGCATATATGCTGGATACCCAGTTATTGCATACCGAGTTCATGCTCGACATACGACACATGGGACACATTCAATCTTGTAGCGACTTCTTCTTGAGGTAAACCTTCACGTATCCATTGCACTAATTGCTCGAGTTAAAGTGCTTCTAATTGCCGTAACGGCATAGTTTTAATGCGAATGAAGTCCATTCAATGAACTGATTAATTGCTAATAAGAAGGGTGTACAATAACTTTACTAAAAGGTAATTTTAATACCATAATAATTAACCAGTTCAATTGTTGAGCAGTGTAAATAAATTTTTATTTATATATAAACAAATATTTGAACCAAAAATCATTTGTAATGTAGCTATAGGTCCTTATTAAACTAAAAAAAATATATAAACATTCATAAAGTTTTTTTCTCAAAAATCATGTTTTAACAAGTGAGTCAATCCAAATGAAAACACCAAAAATGAATTTGCGCTGCATGATTTTTTTATATTAATGAAAAAATTTTAGGATGATCTTTTAGGTATCATATATAAAAAACCGTTGCCGTTTTAATTTTTAGTTGCTTTATTTTTAATCCTAAAAACCTGAAATCGTGTAATTTTCTTATTTTTTTATAAGAGGCTAAAACTCTTTTTCTGTGGCAATTATTGAAATGATTGTAATTTTATTTTACTGCCTAGTAAGTATGTTTTCAATATTAATTATTATTATCTAATTAGTTCATCTCATAAAATAATGGTAAACCACTAAAGATTTGTAATAATTTGCAAATTTTTGTGATTTTTGCCTGGCTCCTATGCCTAATCTGCTAAATCTACTTATACAATAGAAAACGTATATATATATATATATATATATATATATATATATATATATATATATATATATATATGATTATACAATACATAAAATATAACATAACTACCAAATATATCAAAACTGTCAAAAATATTTCATAATTATTATTTGTGGTATTCCTTTGGTGATTTTAAAAAGTTTTGTATATAACATAATATCACATACTATGTTATATACAAAATTTACCAAAGAAATACGCACAAATAATATTTATGAAATATTTTTGACAGTTCTAACACTTCTCCACAAAACGTGAAAGACATCTAAATTTTAAATTATAAATAAAACTAACAATATCGCTACTAAACGGGCATTAAAAAAATTAATATATCTTTTAAAGGAATAAAAATAACAAAACAAGACTAACTGGACTGAAAAGATTAAGATGGGGACTACATTTCCTAAAAGTTTCAAATTGTTATTTTTTCCTCAACATAATGATTTCTCAGGGCAAATTGACTAATTTTAAGAATTATCAACTTTCAATAATTTTTTTAATAAAGAAAATGATTGAATGAAACTTAAAATAATAGTTACGTTTTCTATTGTATAAGTACTTGATACCTGAAAAAAGCAACTTTCTAGATTTAGCAGAATAGGCACAGGAGCCAGACAAAAATCACAAAAATTGGCAAATTATCATGAATCTTTAGTGGTTTACCATTCTTTTATGAGATTAACTAATTGGATAATAATAATTTATATCGAAAACACACTTACTGAACAGTAAAACAAAATTAAAATCATTTCAATATTTGTCACAGAAAAAAGTTCTGGCCCACTATAAGAGAGTAAGAAATTGACATGATTTCAGATTTCTAAAGGGTGCCGATTAAAAGTAAAGAATCCAAAAATTAAAACGGCAACGGATTTTCATATTCGATACCTAAAAGATCATCCTCAATTTTTTTTATTAAAATTATAAATCAAGCAGCGCACCCCATTTGGTGTTTTTATTTGGGATGACTCAAATGTAAAAATTCGACAATTTTCAAAGTTTTAATTTATCTTAAAAAAAAAGATGTTGATCGATTTAATGAAATTAAAAAAAAAATAAGTATCTACTTTATTGGAAAAGTTAATGTTTACGCTGCAATAAAATGGCTGTTGATCAGTTTCAAAAAACATACAAATATCTTTTATTTATTTAAAAAGCACTATCCTTTGAGGTAGGTGAAATATACCAAACAAATTTTCTGCGGTCTTCGCCTGGTTCGCCCTAATTTCGTTTTATTTGGTAAAAAAAAGTAATACTACAAAATTAGATGAAGACGGCAAGAGTTTTGGAGTTGGGCGACATCGGAGCAAAAGGAAAGAAAATTATTTTTCGAGGAAAATCTAGATAGATTGGTAAAATCGTCAAATAAATTACTTAATTTTAATGTTTGGTAAAAGTAAGTTCACGGGTAAAACATTTGCTTGAAATGCATTTTCTCAAGTCGGAAAAATTATGACCGCATGTTCGATTTTGAAAATTCTCGCACTAAAAAGTAATGCAATATTTTTAACGGCTGGGAGTCGGCACCTAAAATGAATATTTCTGTACTCGGAGTACTGTACGAAGCAGTGCCTTTTTATCAGGGGTTTTTTGGGGACTATAGCACCGGGCGGTATATATTTTTGGGGAGAAATCGCGTACCGTCCATTTTTTTTAAATACACCATAAAAAATATTTAATTATTAGCAATTACTTACAAAAAAATTATTACTGCGCCAAGCGACAATATAAAACAATGTTTTATCTATCCCCACCCATCGCGCGCATCGGCGGATCACAAGGGCAAAGAAAGCGTGCGAGCCGGATACAACGGATACAAATGAGAAAGTATTGAAGCAGCTTCTCTATCAGAAAAATTTAATTTATTGGAAAACGGAATAATTTTAACTTTTTGGCTAGGTATACGTTTTGCAAAGCAGTCCAAAAACAAAATATGGATTTAGGCACAACTGCTCATATTTTGTCATCTTTAGTTGAGTACTTTGATTTTTTACGTGATCGTTTTAATCATTACGAGGCTTTAGGAAAATCTTTAACAGGAAACAAAAATTATCAGAAGCGGATAATCATAAGAAAATTGCAATTTGAAAAAAATAATTCAGAAGCAAGTTTAAGTTTAAAAAAGAAACAATGCGATCAAAATGTTTTTTTTAACAATTGACAATCTTTAATCCGAAATAATTTGTCGATCTGATAGCTACAAATCTTGCTAAAAAAAATTTGAATTTTTGTTTAATCTAAAAGCCCAAGATGATACAAATATTCTAGCATCTGCAACTCAACTACAACAAATCTTCGTGGAGGATTTGGATGACATTTTCCTCAAGAATGTGTCCATCTCAAGAAACTGGTAACTTCCCTTTCGAAAATAAAAATAGAAACTCCATTGGAAATAGTAAAAGTTTTATACGAAAATAAATTAATATCTTAATTTCCAAATAATAATATTTGTCTGCTTATTTTTTTCCATAATGGTTTCAAGTTGTGAACGATCTTTCTCTACTCTAAAAAGTGTAAAAGTATAGAAAGTATAAAACAATTTTGATAGAAAACAACCTTTTAAGTATTAGTATCAAACCAAAGAATAATGTGTTATTTATTTATAACTTTTGATTAGTTTTTATTAGTTTAATGAAACGAAATAATAAACTTATTAGTTTTTAATTAGTGTTTCTTAGTAGTTACCTATTGTTTATTTAAATCAAAGAATAATATTTTTTGTTTTGTTTATAAATGCTCATTTTATATTTTATAGGTATACAAATACATATTTATATACTAAGTTTACTGTTTAGATTGATATCTTCCACTTGACGTAAGAAAGTAAGACTTAATTTTAAAAAGTAATATTTTAAAGCATTGGGCGTTGTGTTTGTGCCAGGACCGGGTGGCGAACTATACCTTAGACCGGCCTGGTACGACGTACTTTGCAATTAGTATAGTACTGATACTTCGTACTCCTTCAGAAATTAAGTTATAATTATAATATAACAAAAGGTTTTTAGTTATTGTGTTTAATAATGTTACTTTTTT